ATGAGGTCTCGCTGCCCAGGCGGGTCTCGAACCCGCGGGCTCAGGCAATCCACTCACCTCAGCCTCCCAAAGGCGCAGGATCACAGGCTGAGCCACCGAGCCCGGCTTATAATAACTTTTTAAAGCAGCCATTAAACCTAGTGCAACTGATGTTTTGTTTGTTGTTTCTTGCAACTGTTTAAAACATATATAGTACTCAAGGGCTAGACTTTCTGGGCTTCCTGGTTCTATGACTCAGCAGCTGTGACTTTGGGGTTAAAAGTATGAATTCTGGAGCCAGGTCCCTGGGACCACAAGGGAGATCTGCCCTTGGTTCTGCCTGAGCCAGGGCACGTGACTTGGCTCTGATGTGCCTCTGTCTCCATATTTATAGAGAGTTACTAATTTACTAATGAACTTGCTTTATAGGATTAATGCAAAGATCAAATGGGTTAGGGGAAAATGCAAAATGCTTTCTAGAGTCTCCAGCATGATAACCTGTAGCAAATATCAACTATTGAGAATATATGTTTTTTTTTAAATGTATTAGTTTTTTCAGTAGCAACATTTAAATGGCATTCTCACTTTTGGAAAAAAGAGAATTATTGGAATTTGGAATTGTATTTGAATCACAGACTCAAAAAATGCATTACTTCACACCTGAGGGCCATCCTGCAGCCACCAAAAGGGCCATGAGCTGTGGTACTGGGGCTGTCACCTCATTCATGGTGCTGGGCACTGGTTGGAAATTGTGGATGCTGAGATCCTGAAGATACAAGTCCTTCTTTCCAGTTTTCTCAGTCTAGGAGGTAACTTTCATGTTAAGATGACAAAACAGAGGTATAAATCAGAAGGGAAGTCTATGTATTAGAAGAAAACCGGTCATTGGTAGAAATATAAGGCATGAAACCATAATTCCAGGGAATCACAGAAGGAGTGAGGAAACACAGAAAGTTCACATATTTGCAAAAACAAAAGTGAGTAAGATCAAAAACCTAAGGTAGGACTCAAGGCATCAGCTGAGGCCATGCTGCTATGTGGCCCCACAGCTCGGGCTCTGTCCCCTGCACATAATGCCATATTAAATACACACACACACACACACACACAAAGGAAGTAAACCATAGTCACTTACAAGACAAGTCCACTTGTCAATGACACCTGGAGCCCCCAGACTCACAACAGAATCTTGAACGCTTTGACGTTTTGCTGGTCCATGGCACCTGGTCATCCCAGGACAACCCAGTGCTGGGTTCTGTGTTAGCTCATCTGCCTCCTGTTCACCAGCAATCAGCCTGGGGATCCCAGGGGCTGACAACCTTACTGTGCCCATGAGGTCCCCACACCTGACATGGAGCTGCCTGTCCCAATGGTGCCTAGGTGCATGGGGGCAGGCAGGAGTTGGCAAGGATGCATTTTGCTTCTTACCCACCAGATTAGAATGAACTTAAGCAAATTTGTTCCCTTGACTTTCTCTCTTTCTTTCTCTCTTTCTTTCCTGTTTGTTTTGGATGGGGGAGGTAGGCTCTGGAGTATGTTACACACTTTCTTTTAAAACAAAAATCTTTAGTAGAAAGAATGACTTTAAATCTATAATTAATGAACTTCACTTAATAAGAATTTATAGAGTCCAGGTTTTTTTCTGCTGTCTCATTTTTAAACAGAGAGGTAAATCACAGAGAAAAATCACACCAAGAGTTTACACTGAAAAGAAAGGACACACATTAACACTCAACTATGGAGTTGGAATTATCTACCTAATATTTACATGCATGTCTATGTACTAGCTTGTGCACTGATATTCAATGTTCCTATTATGATTCAAAAGGGGAAAGAAGAACAGTTAATAATTTCTGTTCATATTTCCCCAGTTTTTAATAAAAGAAAATGAATTTTTTACCCATTGAAGAATACTTGTCAATAAAACTTAAAAGGAAAAGAGACCGGTTAGCCAGAAATTTAAGCTAAGTCAGACCTTCTATTTGCCAAACATGTTCAAGGTTTTTCCATACTTTTAACATTTTACAAAATAGCAAGAAAGAAGGACAGAGAACATCGATTTTTTAAGGGAGCCTGGAAAGAAATGGCCATTATAACAATAAAATGGGCTTGATTCCTGTCTTCTCTTTCTGTGTGTCTATATTGCATAATCTGGGCAATGTCACTTAAGTTAAAACTAAAAGTGGGCCTTTTCTTTTTTTCTTTTCTTTCTTTCTTTTTTTTTTGGAATACATAAAGTTGCCAAAAACTGACATAATTTTTATGAGACTCTCAGAGTTTTTGGCTTAACTTCAGAGCCGGGTTTGCTATTATGCTGTATGAGTTACGAGGCTTGCAGCACTGTTTTCTTTAATGTGGAATGATCCTAATTTCACTACCTGGCCATAAAAGCTCAGGTTTCAAAGGCAATTTTGTAAATAGCCTTTCCTATTACTTTTGATGAAATTCACATTTGCAAATGTGAACCTCAGAATATTTACATAAAGCAGAGTTATCCATCAAGAGACAAACATTCAGCTGGAAATTTTATAACAGCCTCTTTGCGTGGGTTGGAACAGTCATTCTCATCTCTACCCAGCGAGTGGATGTTCACGGAAAGCTTTTCTCCGTTCTTTTTTCTTGCAGCCAGAGCTACCTGCAAGCTGCCAGTGACGTGCCTGTCGGTCACAGCCTGGACCCTGCTGCCAACTACAACTCCCCAAAATTCCGCTCCCGGAACCAGAGCTACATGAGGGCTGTCAGCACCCTGAGCCAGGCCAGCTGCATAAGCCAGGTTAGGAATTCTTTCTGTCCTTTCTCCCTGGGGTACCATCATCAAAGCCCGACTGTGGCAGAAGCCCTGGCTGCAAGGGAGGCAATGATACAGGCATCCCTAGTCAGCATCACTTATGCAGAGATGACAGCACATGTCATTTCTGCCTGTGATAGGTTGACTGATTAAAAGCTTATGAACTTTATAAGATTGCATTTTTTGACATTTATGACTATCATCTTTTCATTGACTTCTTCTGAGTAAGCAATGACTGATATATGGATCATCTCAGCCTGTCTCATTCACTTAGCACAGACTGTCTTATTTTACCCCAGTATGTTTTTCCAGTAAAACTAGACTGGGGAAAGGCTCTGACCATGTGGCTTTCAGTTGTGTCCTCCAGACTGTACCTCAGAAGGTCCCGTAAGAAGAGTTGAAGTATGCTGTGATGCCTGGTATCACTCAGAGTCATGTTTGTCAGGCTCACTTCCAGGGCAGTACTTATATCTTATATACACAGACCAGACCCTGTGGCTCCAAGCAGGATGTATGGACACTAGGAAACAGTGATGTTTTAACCACACCCTCAAGACATCCCAACTATTAGAGGGAGGGCCCATGCTTCCCTCTGGGGTGAACCATCAGTGACAAAATGAGCAGGTGCTGCTAATCTTAGTCACCCTATATTGTAAGACAAATACAAATAGGATGTTTAAAATTTTAATTAAATAATTTTCTTACTAATTATAACTGCTTTTGAAAACAGTACTGAATTAACCTTGAATTTTATGCATAATGTTTTATAGACTTATTGTAAAGTTGTTCTTAAGAGGATGGACTCAGTGCCCTCCCATGATTTAGTTAGCAAAGTGATAAAATCAGTGTCTGATGAATTTTGGGTATTATTAGGAAAAGAGCCCAGCACATAGCAAGTGTTCAATAAATGATAGCCCATATTATTGCAGTGGTAATAATAAGTAATATAATTATGTTATTAAAACTCCTCCTGGCTGAGGACCGTGTTGAGCTTTGGTAACTTGCCAGGGGTTACATAAGCAGAAGCCTTTCTTTTGCCACAGACTTTAAATGCTTTATGAGATAGTCTCTTCTTTCAAAGTTTTCTATCATCAAAAAGTTGTACTCTGGACTTTTTCTACTGAATTATTTGGATTTTTCCTGTTTCACAACTCAAGAAGGATATTACTTATTTAATCACTGAGATGCTATTTTTCATCTAGAAATGCAGTTAAGTTTTTGTCTGCAGCAAGAAGTCCATCGACTCTTTTTTCCTATTGACAAGGAAAGATCCTTTCCTAACACTGCACACTAGGACTGTCAGATTTAGCACTCAAGTCCTACATCCCAGGAAACCCCCCAGTCCAAGCCATATGGGGCAGTTGGTCACCTAGCCATTGCACCCAACCAACACACAAACAATAACATCAACAGCAGGTCCAAGGCAACTAGACTATTGTAATCATGTAATTGAGGGTCCATTCCATTTGAGCATAAAATTCAAGATGGTTTTGGAAGACGCTAATTACCAAAACAGAGTTACTGAAAGTCAATGATACATTTTAGCAACTTTCCATACAAGGATAAGGGTGGTTAAAGTAGAATTCTTGCTTTTAAAAATACACGTTCCCTTTCAGTTAAAATGACCTAGTGACCAAAATATAACTCTTAAAATCAGATGTTACCTGTTAAAGGCCTTAAGCAGAGATGTGAAGTCTTCTCCCCCAGGCATGAACATTCCTCTCTGATGGTTTCTTCTGCTCTCCACAAATGAGTTTCAGTCAAATGGGTATCATACCTCTCCAAATGCTCTGGTGAAACCTTCAGAAGCTCTCTGGTTTTTATCATCATCATTCTGAGTAAATGCATCATTCTGAGTAAATTCTGAGTAAATTCAAGCATTTACTAGGATTTCCTTCATCATGCTCTTGGTTTATCTAAGAAGGTACCTCCAAAAGTAAGTCAGTAAAAAGAGCATTTTCCCCATCTTTTTCAATCTGAAATGATTCATGTCTGTAAATAATTATGAAACAGACAAGTTGGGTGCTTGATGCGGGGGGGGGGGATTATTTCTTTTAATGACTTTGAAATTTAGAATTCTAAGTTATTCCTATTGCAAGATGATGACATGACTTTAAACTCTATTTTGAAGTCTGAAAAATGTATGTTGTTACTTAAAACAATCCTGGAATCCTGGTGGTGGACAGGGCTATATTACACCCAGGAAGAAGCTTCTGGTAACTGAATGTTTAACCCTGGTCCACGTAACCCAGCAATTCAGGGAATAAGAGGGCAACTTCCCCTGACAAAGGATGAGACATCTGAAGTCAGTGACACCCCTGGATTCTTGGGATGCTTGAACTTCGTGACAAAAGCTGTTAAAAGTCTATTCTTCGTCTTGAACACTTCTTTTTTTCTCAAGTACAAAAATGAAATGAAAACTTCACCTGCAGTCTTGTGAGATTTGCCTATCTCTAAGCCCTTTCTTGATCTGGACTTTGGGAGTTGAGCTCTGTGTGTGTTTCTTGCAGTGCCTGAGTTGAGAGGATAAGCCGAGGTGCTCTAAGTGTCCTTTGCTGTTCTCGTGCAACTGCACCAAGGGGGGCATGCAGGATCACAGAAGGAACCTCAAAAGGAGTGGGAGAGTGGGATGAAATCCAAGTTCTATGACTAGGCTCTAGAATAGGACATGTTCACTTACCCATAACATTTCTCACCTGCGGGAGTCTGGACAGGAGTGCTGGAAGCACACTTTAAAGCCATTGCTCTTGCAGGACTGTAGCCAGATGGGTCCAGTCACAAGGCCTCCACCACCCCCTGACTGTAGCCATGGTATTCAATGCCCTTGGCTGCTAGCCTTTATGGACCTTTCCCAGAGTGCTCTGTGACTCCCCAATCTCTCAGTGCCCAACAGGACCCCAGACCTAGTTCCTGTTCTCAGAATGATGCTCTCTAAAGTTTCAGAGAACACAGCTGGATTTTTCTTGTGGGTTACATGGCCCCCTCTTATTCAGGGTTCAGTGCTCTATGTTTAAAAACAATTATATTTTGCTAAATCATATATTAAATAGAACAATTTTCACATGTTTCATGTCCCTTCACTGCACTTAGACATAGATTTTAAGATTCTCCCATCTCTTCCCCCATTTGATAAATAATAATGGAATTGTGGTTATAGCTACTAAGACCAGCCATGTCCCAGTTATGGCACTGGCTGATCTTGTCAGTCCCTGTCACAAGTGAGCTCTGGCAGGTCTCCATTTGCAGATTCATGCTCAGCCCCATCTGCTGGAGCTCCTTCCAGGGCCACGTTGGACCATGGGGATGCATGGGGATACATGGGATAGATAACTCAGCAGGCTGAGTCTTAAAGTCGAGTGGGGTCCATGGCCGTGCCTGGCACATCCTAAAAACCCAAGGCAACCCCACTCCCACCCTGCAATCCTCCTATGCCTGGTGGCTTCCTTTCTGATTTACTGATTTCCCTTCCCACACGAAAGGCCGAGTCTCACCAGAGGACACACAGCACACACAATGTCAGCTCCCAAACTCGCAGGTACTCTGGGGACACGCAATTCTTGCCATGTTGGGCCCTTTCCAGGCCCACAAGAATAGATTGGGACCTGGTTCCAAATGCTTTTGGCCTTCTGTTTTCTCAGCTAGAATATCTCTCTAATCCCCTGTGCAGATCCTGCCATCACCCAATACACTGCTGTAGCTGAGTCTTGATGTTTCTGTGACCTGACACACCCCTAGTGTCAACTTAAGGATGTGTTGGTTCTTGTCCTTTAATCTTACTGACATAGGCCAGGGGACTCCAAAGTTGGGGCCCAGCCTGAGAGGCCAAGTGGGTTCTTGCCTTCACACAGGAAAGAATTCAAGAGTGAGCTGACAAAGTACAATGAAAGTTTATTAGAAGGAAAGTGGAACAGAAAGAAGGCTACTCCATAGGCAGAGTAGCCCCCACACATTGCTGGGGTTTCAGTTGGAAAATAAAAGTGAGTTTGTTGAAATGGCAGGGAGCTGCTACTCCATAGACAGAGCAGCTGGGGCTGGCCTATAGAAAGAACAGCAGCCATACATCACTGAATTCTTTTTGTAGTTATCTCTTGATTATATGCTATGCAAGGGGTGGAATACTTATGTGTTTCCTGGGAAAGAGGTGGAAGTTTCTAAGAACTAGGGTTCCACCCAGCTTGTTGCTATAAATGGGAAGGTCAGAACTGTCATGGCACTAGAGGTTATGTCATCTAGCATGCTAATGTATTATAATGAGTACATAATAAAAGGCAAGGTCAGGTAATAGGCACATGAGTTGCCATCTTGGTTCTAGCTAACTCTACCCAGTTCTTAGCTGCATCTTGTTGTTGTTGTTTTTTTTCTGTGAGAGTTCATAAAGCCAGGTTATTCACCTATCTAGAGAAACTGTTTTAACCACCAGTGTTGAAAATTTAGCTTGGTTGGTCTGCCGATCTCCTATCTCTGTTCCACCACCTACCGCCTCTTCATTTTTCTGATATGCGCTGCTTTGGTTCCTCACAGTGCCTGACTTCTCTGGAAGCAGCTCATTTCTGAGTCATGGCTCACAGAAGAAGTGGGGTCCTTTTACCCATGTTGGTTATTCCATGGCCTTCCCACTGACCCAGCGTCCTGGTAGTATGTCTCTAGTGAATGCAGACAGAACTTGAGTTCCAGTATGAAATGTCTCAACCTTCCCTCAAGCTAGTGGACAGGTCATTGTAATTCCTTCTTTTCAATTGACTTGCAGGAGGGACATTGTCATCATTTCTAAAACTTCATGGATGAGTTGTATAGCTGGAGCACATCCAGAGGGTCCTGCCAGAAATCTCGGTCTTTCCTTTGTAAAACGAACACAGGTTTAACCTATCTCATCTCGCAGGAGAGAGGGCAGCTGGCCCAAGCGGTTTGCAGAAGAGCCTCAACAGGGTACATGGGCTGGGGGCTGGCGGACACCAGGGCCTCACTCCAATTTTGACCTTTCAAGTTGTCTAACATGGATCTTTGACATAAATGACATAAAACAACCTCACACTTTTTGATAAAATTGCACATAAGTGAAAACTTCAATCAAAAGAAATTTGTAGCCCAGAAAACGTCCTATTTTCAAACCACCATGAATGCTTCTAAGCATTTTACTGACTGGGTCACCGAGGCTGTCATTGTGACCGTGTCCTGGTCTGTGCCCCTGTGTTTGCCTATCTCTGCACAGAGTCAGGAACCCTCAGACCATCCCAGTGAAGGCCGGCTGCCACCTCAGCACTGACTTTCCTGCCAGCTGGTAGGGAGGTCTGCCTTGCCACACCAGCTTCTGGCTGGGCTGCCCTGGGTCCCCCCGCCCCGTCTTCAGGACCAGGGTTGAGTTGGGATCCTCCAGTATTTAGAGTGAAAGAGGCCATTCTTCCAGCATGTACACCCTCAGGGTGAAGCCAGAGATGTCAATCTGCAGTTCTGAAATGAGAAGTAGGCAAAGAGTGTCGAGTTTTGTTTTCCCAAGTAGAGAGAGAATTTGACTCTGACCTTGCCTTTTCTCTGCAAAAAATGAGAAGAAAAAGACTCATCTGGCATTGACAGTGGTATCTTTCTAAAATGCATCTGCCGGCATAATCCAGGAGTTCAGGGAACTGTCGGTGCTTTGTACTCTCCCCATTCCCCCCATTCCCTGCTGAGGTGGCCCAGGAAATGCAAGAAGAGAGCATCTTTATTTAGCCCGGAAAGAAAGCAGGGAAGAGAGAGGAAGAAAGGAGGGAGGGAGCAGGATAGCATCTGCTTCTGGAGTAAAACTGGGCAAAGGCAGAGAAGTGAGCATCTGCCGACAAAGCTTGCAGATGGGTCCTTGGAAGCAAATATGCACAGTGTGTGGGGGAAACCAATGAGCGTCTCCCCCAGCCGGCATGGAGCGAGGCAGAGGAAGGAGAGGGTCACTGCAGGCGCGGCATGGTTGGGCTCAGAAACAAGGAAGGGGGAAAGGCATCCAGAAAATTGTCCTTCCTGTGTGACTTCAGTGTGTGGCTCCAGGTGGGCAAAGGGTGAGGGGCCGACTGGAGAGGGGGCAGCAGGTCCCATAGCCTGCATGAGGAATAAGCACTCAGCTCCGATGCAAGAGCAGCTGGAAGGTTGCAGAAGCACTGGAAGGACAGGGTTCCACGCACTGGACTAGGTGGAGAGACGCGGTTGCTGGCAGCTGCAAAGATGTAGCAGAGAAGGACCAAAAGCTCAGAAGGGCAGCCAGGGCCCCTAGCGGTGGGCGGGCTTGGAGCATGGAACCCAGGTGCTCGGTGACTGGCGGGACGTCCAGGTGGGGTTCCCCACAAGCCCACAGCAGGAGGGATGGGCCACGACAACCGTCAGGAGGTTGAGGAGACAGGTGCAGCACCCCAGAAGAGCTGCTCCCCTCCCCTCTCCTGATCCCCGATGCTGCTCAGAGCTGAGTCCTCACTCTAGGTGTCATTAGTGAGCATTCCATGTTAACATATGTAAGACACTCAAAGGGAGACCCATAGTAAATGAGTGAGGCAAGAGGATCACTTGTCAAAGCCTTGTCACCGGAGCAGAGGGCATCACCACCTCCAAGCAGCTGGCATCTGTCCATGCTGGGCCCCAGCCTCTTACCCCAGCGTCCATGGGCTTCCACGCCTCTTATCAATTCAGAGTCAGCTTTTCTTTCTTGAAATTCTCATTTCTTCGCCTACCCAGTCTCGTCAACATTCCACTGTATAGGATTTCCATGTAAAATCTCTAGATTTTGGCCAGATGCAGTGGCTCCCACCTGTAATCCCAGCACTTTGGGAGACTGAGGCAGAAGAATTGCTTGAGTCCAGGAGTTTGAAACCAGCCTTGGCAAGACAGTGAGACTCCATCTCTAAAAAAAAAAGTAAAAATTAGCAGGGCGTGGTGGCACACATCTGTTGTCCCAGTTATCTGGGAGTTTGAGATGGGGGGAACCACCTGAGCCCAGGAGGTCAAGGCTACAATAAGCTTTGATCATGCTACTACACTCCAGCCTGGATGACAGAGTGAGACTCCAACTCAAAAAATAAAATTTAAATTTAAAAATTTCTAAAAATAAAATCTCTGAATTTGGCTCATGGTAAATACCACCACTAGGAATCCCAGGAAGAGCATGTCATTCCCAGATTATCCACCCTACACCAGGCCCTGAGACTCTCATTCTGAGATCCTCCCACTATCCAAAGCCAGGATCCGTTTCTTCAAATAAAACTGAAGCATTTAGGTTTCCAGGATAACTCCACACCTAGAAATCAAATCACAGGCAGGACAGTATGGGGGGGGCAAAAAGAACCAGAATTTAATTATAAAAAGTGTGTATTCTTACATGTTGAAACATCAGTCACCTTCAAAGTACTTCATTTGATGCAATACACCTAGAGAGATGCTTTTTCCTCTGCTCAAAACAGTTTTTGAACTCGTCAATTTTGATGCCTTTGAGTGCTTCTGCCATTTTTGTTTCACCTTTTCCACTTTAGCAAAATGTTTCCCTTGGAGGACTTTTTCCATCTGGGGAATTGAAAAAAAAAAGTAACTCAAGGAGAGATCAGTGAATGGGGAGGGTGAGGTAAGGGGGTCATGCCATTTCGGGTCAAAAACTGCTGAACACTCAGCACCACGTGGGCAGGTGTGTTGTCATGGTGGAAGAATCAGTCACTGTTTGCCACAACTCAGGACGTTTCTTCTGCAAATCGTGAGTCAGCCTTCTCAAAACTTCGAGGTAAACACTTTGGTTGACTGATCCAGAGGAACAAATTCCAAGTGTACTACAAGGGGCCTGCCCTCCAAAAGATAATGTTGGTTTTTTGGGAATCCTCCTCACAATTGCTCTATCTGCTAAACTCTTCGATGAAGTAGCATCCTAGGCTAAAGAAGAACCAAAAATCCTGGAATTTAGGTAGAGTAACGTGTTTCATGAGGACAAAAACACCAATACAACCATTTCTTTCTCATCTGGACTGGGATCTATGCTCAGCAGTGGAGAGAAGGATGTGAGTGTATGCCAGATTTGTGATTAGTTGCCATGGCAATGAGTAGAAGCAGACTCTCGCATCCTGAAAAAGAACTAAAAGTAGCTTATGCGCTTAGATGTGTTTTCACCTACCCAGCCTGGATGCCCAGATCATCTGTGCTACAAATAGCTTGGACAGGTGGAGGAGAGAGGAGGGAAGGAAGGAAGGCAGGAAGGAAGGCAGGAAGGAAGGAAGGAAGGAAGGAAGGAAGGAAGGAAGGAAGGAAGCAAGGAAGGAAGGAAGGAAGGAGAAATTTTTTTGATACTTTACTTTGTACCAGATGCTTTGCTAGACTTTAAAGGCGATGTCTCTCTTGAACTAGCAGTAGCTGTCAGCCCTATCCTGAAGGTCAGCCTTGTTTGTCCATAGAATTTCATCAACATCTTAGAATCAGCTGTTTACCTAAGTATCATGCAAGTAATAACTCCATAAGCGAGTTCCCATGCCAATTTCACATTGACTGTGCTGAAAATATAAGACTGTAAACCCATGTTGTGGGATGAATTTGTTCTCCCTGTTCTTTTGTGACACCAACAATGGTCCTGCTGGACCCAGCCTTCAGATGTGCTGTTGATGTTCTAGGTGAGTGAAGCGGAGATTAACGGTCAGTTCGAGTCGGTTTGCGAGTCCGTCTTCAGCGAGGTGGAGTCTCAGGCCATGGACGCCCTGGACCTCCCCGGATGTTTCCGAACCAGGAGTCACAGTTACCTTCGAGCCATCCAAGCTGGCTACTCCCAAGATGATGAATGTATTCCTGTGATGACACCCTCCGACATCCCCGCAACCATCAGGTCAGCAGCAGGTAAGAGAATGTCCTCTTCGACCTTCCTGGTAAAAGACCCATAGGCAGACTTAAGTCCTGACCCTAGAAGAAGTGGGCTTACCTGTGCCACAGGTGTAATTTCCTCTCCAGACATTTGTAATTTTTACTGATTGCATTAGTTATATCGTCGCATTAGCAATGATGCTGTGTCTTTTAGCTAACATTTCTTTTTCTTAGAATGAAATCTATTAATTATCAAAGTTTCTTAAAATAATCAAGTATTATTTCTATAAAGTTTTGTATAGGGGAAAAAATAAGTACCAACATTTAGAAGGTGATTGCATTGTAAATATCAGAGTTTGATAGATTGTGGGGAGATTTCGGGTGACATACAGTGACTCTTGGGTCCCGTCGCAGTGGTGTCCAGCCTGAACCTTGGCACATAACTAAACCTTGCTCCATAACTAAAACCATAAACATGATTCATTGTGGCAACGCAAATCCGTCATTAATGTAGACTCACTAATCGTCCCAGGGCTCTGAGGATTCAATGTCACTATTTCCTTTAGTTTTTATGAAAAGCCATGCCCACCCCTTTGAAAATTTACCGCCTAACCTAAACATCACTGCCTGATATTTTACCGCATTGTTATTATTTATACAACACAATGAATATACATGACCTAGAGAAGCCCATAAAACACAGCCAGCTGTAAAACCTTGAGGCGCTGCAGGTGGAGGCTGAGAAGGGAAGCTGTAAAATAACACGATGTTGAAGCATGGGGTGTCCTGAATATCATAGGATCAAGATGCTGCAGATACGTCAAAGAAATTTAAAGGATAGACCAGACATGGTGACTCGTGCCTGTAGCCCCAGCACTTTGGGAGGCCGAGGCAGGAGGATTGCTTGAGGCCAAGAGTTTGAGATCAACCTGGGCAACATAGTGAGACCTTGTCTCTACAAAAATTTTTAAAATTTAGCCAGGTGTGGTGGTACACCCGAAGTTCCTACTGTTCAGGAGACTGAGGCGGGATGATCGCTTGAGACCAGGAGTTCAAGGCTACAGTGAGCTATAATTTAGCACTCCAACCCAGGTGTCAGAGCAAGACCCCTGTCTCAAAAAGAGAAAAAGAAACACAGGGAAGCAATGAGCTTTATAATCATCGCATTAAAACAAAACCATAACACTTTGAGAGCTCATGGCTCATACACTCTCCAGTGTTTATTTAGTGTCTGTTATGAACAAAGGGACACTGAGGCACTCTCAAGATCTTCAGAAAGTACTTTGAAACAATTACCTAGTAAGAATTTGTCTTTAGAGCTGTCATCATGGAGAAAATAAAAATAAAATTTCACAGAGATAATATAAGAACCAGTGCCAAACTCCTACTAAAATTTTAATTTATGTACATACAATTTTTACCATGCACATTTTGTATTCCAAAAATGTACACATCAAATAAATTACTTAAAAAATGCTTCTATCCAAAGTTTCTACTGGACCTCTGCCTAGTTTTAAGTCAAAATTTCCTCTAGACTACACAGGGGAGTATCAGAGTTATGGAATGGTCTGTGAGTTAAATTAGAAAAGAAATGAAAACATTAGGAGACAGATTTAGCACTGGTGAATTATAAGGTATTCCTGCTGAAGAACTATAAATACAGATTAATAATTAACCTCTCCCTAATCCTGTTTTAGTCTAACTATACCAGATATAATTTAGATGGCATGCAATATTGTCTTTTATTATAATCATATTATGAAAATACCTAAGAAATGAAAAATCCCTATCTGAAAAAACAAACTATGGAGGAAAGCTACCCAAATATACAGGCTATACATGCCTAAATAACTATGACACTGAACTTCACATTTGAGCTGGAACCTCCTATTAGTGAGACCAATGGATTTCAATAATTTTCTTCTTAAATACTTCTTACTTTTGTATCTAAATACTTGGAAATTCATATGCTAACATTAACATTTAATAGCTATCCTTGGCCTTGCTCAGTGGCTCAGCCTGTAATCCCAGCACTTTGGGAGGCCAAAGTGGCGAGTGGATTGTCTGAGCCCATGGGCTCGAGTCCAGCTTGGGCAACTTGGCGAGACCTCATCTCTATAATAAATAAAAAATTAGCTGGGCGTGGTAGCACACGCCTGTAGTTCCAGCTACTTGGGAGACTGAGGCAGAAGGATCACCAGAGCCCAGCAGGTCGATGCTGGGGTGGCCATAAATGTGCTACTGCACTCCAGCCTGGGTGACAGAGTTAGACTCCAACTTAAAAAAAAAATAACTATCCTTTGTTGAGATATATATATGTGTGTGTCTGTGTATGAAGAAAGAGATTCATTTGAAAAACTGATTTTCTTTTATAGTTCTAAAACTAATTCTTGAAAATAGCTATCCTTTGTTGAAATATGTATATGTGTGTGTCTGTGTATGAAGAAAGATTCATTTGAAAAACTGATTTTCTTTTATAGTTCTAAAACTAATTCTTGAAAATAGCTATCCTTTGTTGAAATATGTATATGTGTGTGTTTGTGTATGAAGAAAGAGATTCGTTTGAAAAACTGATTTTCTTTTATAGTTCTAAAACTAATTCTTGAAAATAAATCCAAAAAGTTATTTTCTTTTTTATTATTATAAAGATGTGGGGTACAATTCAGGATTAGGTATACAAACGTTGATTATGCAAGTACCCTTGTTAATGAAGTATACTCCTCCCTCCCCTAGCAGTTTCCCTCCACTGCCAATCCCACATTCCGCCCCCCAACAGTTTTCCACTACTGCCAATCCCTTTCTTATAGTATTATAATTGTTCAAGGCCCACTTATGAGTGAGAACACATCGTACTCTGTTCTTTGTTTCTGTGATAGATCACTGAGTATGATCGACTCTAAATCCACCCAAGTTGCTGCAAAGTCCATATGTTCGTCCTTCTTTATGACTGCAAAATGTGTATAGGTATGCAGTCATAAAGTGTATAGGTACCATTTTGTATATGTACCACATTTTTTTGGTCTGGTCCACCTTTGATGGGCAACATGGTGGGTTCCATATTTTTGCTATTAGGAATAAAGCTGCAACAAACATACATGTGCAGGTATCTTTTTCATAGAATGACTTGAGTTCTTCCAGGTATATTCCCAATAGGGGAATTGCTGGGTAATATGGAAGGTCAATTTCTAGTTCTTTCAGAAATCGCCACACTGTCTTCCAAAGAGGTTGCACTAGTTTGCATTCCCACCAGCAGTGTAGAAGCGTTCCTTTTTCTCTGACCAAAAAGTTATTTTCAAAAACTTTCAAAGGTGACTCTTTGAAGAATAAGATTCATTTAAACATGCTTCTTCTCCTTGTTTATTTATTTTATTTTTTTTTTTATTTTTTGTGTTGGAGTCTTACTCTGTCACCCAAGCTGGAGTGCAGCGGCACGCTCACGGCCACCGCAACCTCAACCTGCTGGGCTCCAGCGATCCTTCTGCCTCAGCCTTCCGAGTAGCTGGAACTACAGATACGCACTACCACACCCAGCTAATTTTTTTATTTATTGTATAGATGAGGTCTCACCAAGTTGCCCAGTATGATCTCCAACCCCTGAGTTCAGGCAGTCCTCTTGCCTCAGCCTCCCAAAGTGCTGGGATTACAGGCTTGAGTCATCACGCCTGGCCTCATTTAAACATGCTTCTTTATGCAGACTTGGAAAAATAAAAGTTGGTGTTCTTATGAGATCGTCCCACCTTGCATAAATGCAAATATATAATTTAAATATTCATATAATACTAAATTAAATATCAAATATATGCATGAATGATTTATTAAGAATTTAAAAGTATGTATTAGACGATCCCTTTTAAACATTAACAGCTGATGCTTCCAATGAGTGTTTGCTTGCTTGAGGACCTGAGTTCACCTGTTTTCCACTCAGCCTTCAAAGGCAACTGGTGATTCAGCTGAAACAGGTTCTTTTCATCTCATCACCAGGGAGTGCAAACAGGACTAGAATATGCTGTTAGGCAAAGTGACCCACGATAATAAATGTTCCTCCATCCCACTGTTTCTTTCATTATGAAAAACAGGACATGTTGATTAGTGTCCTCCCATTAAATGAAGTGGTTTTGAAAACATCTAACTTTCATTTCACACATGGTTTCTTTCTCATCTGTGAAATGATTTATCGGATAGATTTACTTGTCTAAATATGCATTTCACCCGATTTTTCTAGAGAGGGAATAATATTGATATTGAGAAGGAAAATGGTATAAAATTAGATTATAATGATTTTTCTCTGGGTCAAAAATTGTCTCAACATGTGATTCTAGAAGTCATTAAAACAAAGGGAAAATCTATACAAAGCATGACAGAGAAAGCAGTTTCGACTTATTTTTATCTTATTGTTTAGATTTCTGTCGTAACTTGTCTCTCCAGGGTACAAAATAATTCTGTTTCCAAGATAGATATTTGCTAATATATAAGAGAAGAATTATCTCTATATTTGGTACTCTGAATATTAGAGGGAGGATAACTATTTTACAATATGATTTTTGTTTCTGTTTTTAAATTCTATTTCTTTGTTGAAATGTCTCAATTTGAAAAAATATGGTTGTGTATTTACTCTACCCTTTTTTGGTCTTCTAGAAATAAAAGTCAATCTTTTACATAATTTTACCTTTTCATAATGAGTGGATTTTCAGGTGTGCGAGACCAAAGAAATGTCCGTTGTGGACCGAAGGTATTGTCTCAGTCTCCGAGTGACTTGGCTTGGTTTGATCAAGCTACTCCGTCATTAATATGCAAGTTTACATGAAGAGATCATGGACATATTTTGAAATTTGAACTTGAAAGAATAGATCATTTAAATACAAGAAACTGGAAATAGAAGTCAATCAGGCTGTTCATGTGATGTTTTGGCCAATAGGTTAAAGATGATTTGAAAGCATAAAACATATTGGAGCCTGTTAAGGTGTGCTGGGCCACACAGGCACCACTTGCTAAGTCAGCCGATGGCTGTGGAGCACGTAGCACCCTGGGGGGGAGGG